GCTCCAGTACACCAGCAACGACAGCGCCCTCTTCATCCTCCCGGACGAGGGCCGACTGGAGGAGGTGGAGGCCAAGCTGCTCCCGGAGACACTGAGGAGGTGGAGAGACTCACTGCAGCCCAGGTGACTCTCCCCAGGTCCCAGAGCTGTGGGTGGGCCCCCTGACTTTATGGTTCTCCCTCCCTCTTCCTGGACTCCTGACCCCAGCATTCAGGGCCTGACTCACATCCAGGGGCTGGACAGAGGTGGGAGCCTGTCCTGGGATGACCTTGCCCTTTGCTGTCTTCATGACTCTTGGCCTGCGGTGCTCCTTCTACCATGATGACGTCGTGGTGACATCTGATGTGATGGGGGTGGTGGCTTCCTCTGATTCTAACAGGAACTAAGTGTAAGAATTCCTAACCCAGTGGTGAGCACTCATGCGTGTCCTGTCCTTGGCTCCACTTTGTCAAGTTGCAGGCTGACAGACACAGTGTGATCAGTTGAGGGCTGAGGTCAGGGAGTCGGACGGGAGCTGAGAATCAGCTTTTCATTGGCTAAAGATTACATTCGCTCATTTACTCATTCAACCATTCAGCACTGGTTTCACAGGCTAATTGAGGACCTACTATGTGCCAGGGACTAATTTAGACCCTGAGGGTAGATCAGCAAATAAAACACTGAATTGCCTGCCCTCGTGGCACTTACTTTGTAATTGGGGTGAAAGACAGAAACAAATACATTATTTGGGTGTTGGGAGGTGAGAAACGGGGAGGTGGGGATGGTAAAGCACAGTAAGATGATTAAGAAAACCGGACACAGAAGTAGTCTGAGATATTAAATAGGGAGGCCGTTAGGTGATTTTTTTGAGGTGAGGGATTGAACCATGTAGATGTGTTGAGGAAAAGCATTCCTGGCGGAGGGAACACCCAGTGCAAAGCCTCTAAGACAGAAGCCAGCCTGGTGTGATGGAGGATTAGTGAGGTCAGAGCAGCTGAAGCAGAGTGAGTGAGATGGAAAGTTGGGAGAGGTCAGGGCCCCCAGCTGGGGGAAGATCAGGTTATGCTGATCCCTCGACTCAGCCCCCTCTAACAAATGGAGACTCACCACAAGGCTCTAAGCCAAAGAGTGAATGATCTGAGTAAGGTTTCAGAAGCATCCCCCAGGTTGCCGAGAGGAGAACAGACAGCAGGGGACAAGCAATGGGGGCAGGGAGGCCACCAGGAGCCCAGGGCAGTCATCCAGGGATGCTGCTGGTGGCTGGACCAAGAGGGAGCCAGGAAGTGTGAGAAGCTGTTGGGCTCCGAACACACAGGCTGGGATGTGGAATTCAGGAGACTAAAAACAGGGGAGCCAACAGAGGGAGAGGGAGTTCTGGGCCCTCTGTCTGCAGGGGACCTAGGGAGGGTGTATGGGCAGCTGCGCAGGGTGCGGCCCAGATTCCAGCCCCCCTCCCAGGCTCACTCCCCGCCACCGTCACCCCTATGCTTCTCTGGGGCTCACTCCCTACTGAGACGGGAGAGGTGTCCTTGACCCGCTGTTCTAATTGGGCGGTTCAGCAGATCCAAGTGGGTAATAGGTGTGGAGGTCACTTTATTAACCACAAGGAGTGAGAGACCTACCTGAAAAGGAGGTTGAGGCTGTGGCCCCCTCCCCAACCCCTGTCCAGAGGACCAGATGCCACCTGGGCCTTCCTGACCCTCAGCCCCTCCTCACTGCAGATCCCAGGAGACCCCAGGGGGACCACACCCTCTCCCTACTGATAATTCCTTCTCAATCCTTTCCTTCCTCCAACACTAAAGGGCTGCCACAGACCAGGGGCTCAAGGAATAGTTGTAAAGGGGTAGAATATTCATCAAACACCTTTGATTTACAAATAACTGGGGAATGATGCATCTGCATATCCCTGGCCCATCCAGGGGCCTCAGTAAGAATTTGATGAATGAATGGATAATGGATTAAGGAAGGAATGAAGGACTGATTATGAGGAGGAACAGATCCCTTTCTGCTCCCAAGGGGCTCATATTTAATGGGAGCCACAGCCCCCTCATATTTGGCATCTGTAAGATCAGGCACCATGACAAGAGTCTTAAGGGAAAAACAGACAGAGAGGGAGGGAGGTCCGAGACATCACCTCTTTTTTCAAGAACCTGCTGCCAGCTCTGCTCAAAAACAGAAGCAAAGGCAGCTCTGCCTTCAAGCTGCTCACTGAGGAGGCAAGATGGAGACCTTTGAGAGATTGCTCAGGTCGCCAGGGCCCA